CTGCAGTTCACATTGCTCGTCGACAAGCTCTTAAATACCAAGAAAACCAACTGAGAAACTTTTGAATTAGCGCATAGAAAGAGCTTAAAAGTGCCAGTGAACTTTAGCGATGTGCCATTTACCGTGTACAGGAAAACATCTTTACTCGTAAACTTTCACCATTGCTAACTTTCACAACCCGAGGATATTAAATATCCCGGTACTGGGAGGGAAAACTCAATAATTTCACTCAAATTGAGGCTGATTTCTTTTTGAAAAATTACTCAAATGCGCTTTTTAAAAAGATTTTCTGATATGAAAATTGCACAAAACTTGGCTTCTTTTGCGTTAAGTTTCTTCACAATGTGATATCGAGTATGTTGTTCCTTCGGGTTATCGTCAATCATTTTCAGTAGGAAAAGTTCCATAAAACTGATTTATTCGAACATTGATAGCAATCTGGATGTTTTTGTTCAGTTGCGAATTTTCCACAATAACAGTTTGTCTGTGAAACGGATGTTCTTTTATTGGTCGACATACTATCCAGGTCGGTTAATAGCTGGCGTTATTTTTAACATTTTTTTTTCAATGTTTCTGTAGCTGTACATCGAGATATTTCGAAAGAAACTTGCTCTTGAATAATGTAAATTAAATAAGTTTTTCAACAAATTGAACAAAACGAAAAATATTGTTTAGATCTGTTGCGCTCCTTAAGTTAGATTAACTAACTCCCACAAAGGAATGATGTCAATTTTGAATCACCCCGTATATTTAAACCCGATTTATCATGTTTCCATTCTAGATCATCGAAAAGTTACGGTTTGAAAAACAACTTAAGTCGTATTTGAAGGCCGTATAAAAAGCTTAAAAATACAGAGTGATTCAATTTTTAACCGGAAAATGCAAGAGTTTATGGCACTCGCAAAATGAGTAGCAAACTTATTGTGAATATAATCACAAACGCTTCTGTTTCTATTCATATACAGGATTTTAAAAGCAGCATATTTTTTGTTACTCCCATTTAACTTTTTTAGTTTTTGAGATTTTTGAAGCAATTTTGGAACTTGGCCACATTCTGAGATGTAGATCGTTCAATGATTGAAACGGTTGCATGTACCCGATATATTTTTTCCATTATTATCACTTCGAACTTGGTTGGGATGCTCCACCGAAGTTTATCCGCCTTTTTTAATGTTTTAAAGAATTATCAAAATACACTTTACTTCAACACCCTGTATTTTGGACAGGAATCGCTAGCGGAGATACGTTAATATGAACGTTTCCACTTATTTTTGTGAGTTTTATCACGTTTTTCGTTTCTCTATTAAAGATTTAATTCTTTTATATGTAAAATGTATGAAGATAAATTTCAGTTATCTTATACCTGTGTTTTCCACATTGCTTCTGAAAAAAGAAAATTCCAGCACATTCATCTCTCGATAAATTTTAGTCAAAAAAAAGGTGTTAAATGAAAATGCTTATTGATATGAGTCTAACAGTTTCGGAAGCCCTAAGGTCGAAAGTACGATAGGACATTTAACACAAATTATTTAATTTTGATAAAAGGGTTCGGAAAAAATGTATTTCATACAGCCGTTTGTTTGTAAAATTCGATTTTTGCAATTCGAGACACCGAAAATCAAATTCAGTCATTCCCAATGGCAAATCCGCAATTTTCTTCCACATAGGTCCCAGATAAGATCCAATTAACGCGGAAATCTCCGACAAACTTTGCGAACATCTTTTCCAGACGGGTCGAGGATTAGCTGCCGCAACTTAGTTAACGAATTCATTAGGCTTTCTTCGCGTTCGAACTTTCGTCTCGGCACGATCGGCAAACATTATTATAATTACAGGTGCCTTCCTTCATGTAGCGAAACCGAAAAAATTAGGCGTGGATTGGTTTTCGATCACTCTTTGCCTGTGTGCTTCCTAGGTCGATACAGGAAGTATTTAGCCAAAATTAAAGATGTTTTTATCATTAATAAATAAAGCATGAATAAATTAGTTTTTATCACCCTGTAGTTTCAAAGCCAAATATTTTGCAAATCAAATATTAATATAGAATTGAGCTATTAAAGTTTTTTCATGCCAAATTTGAAACTTTTGCTGCTAAAACGGCGAAATTTTCGATTTATCAACACCATGAAAAAGTGAATTTTCATTGCTAATGCCGAATAATTAAAAAACTATCCAATTTTCATTCATATCTTTTATAGCAAAAAGTAATTGAAATTTACATGTAAATTCAAAAATAAAATAAAATATAGCGTGTTTCATTAGAAGCAAAGTTGTTTTCTCTGTCTGTGAAATTGTGAATATTTTTAAAATATGCGTGTATTGTACTTTCACATTTGTATTCATACACTCTATATAAGCAATTCCTTTGCAATGAGTGCTGTTTTTTTATTTTATCGGTTTGTTTTCATGCTGTTGACAATTTTTTTTGCTTTTACATCGAACGACTTGGTCATTCTCAACATAACAAAGATATATAGAAATGGCGTGAAAGACTTGAACAGCATTTTTCCAATTTCCTAATGGAGTATTGTCTAATCAGCATTAGTTGCAAGTCGCAAAAGTGTTATTGTGGTGGTGGCGCGGCGAAAGGTCTTGTTCTAACTCGATTAGGGCTTGATTTATGGGTCCGAAGAGGGAGATTCTGTGACGTGCAAGTGGGTTATGAAGATGTGTGTTTATGGTCATGTGAACTGTTTTGTCTCGTTACACCGTAATTTATACACATGTGTGATATTAGCCGGTTTAGTAATCTCTGCTTTTCCCACTGTAATTTTAGCCCTTGTAAAACTGAAATTAAATTGATGCATTTCGCAATGTTTAATGTGAAAGTCTGGTACAAAATTTTGGAAGTTTTCTTGTATGTGCCAAAAGATCAACGTGATCTTGAGTCACGCGGACTGAAGTAAAATGTAGAAGATACATTTCTTGAGAAACCTTGCCGCCATAATCTAAAATTAGAAAAAGTCAGTTCATGAAGAGTAGAATTTTGTTTAGTTGTTCGCAAAATAAAGTTATTCGCAATTTTTTGTCTTTCTTTTGCATTCTTTCAGGCTCTCACTATCAGGCAAAGAAGTATTAAATACGTATTTCCCGTCTGTATGCATTTTTGCACCTAATTTTCACAAACTTTAAACTGAGGCCGGATAAATTTTGTCTATGTGGTCGATCAATAACAGTTTTCGTCTTCGCTTCGCTTGAATTTAACATCAGTCATCAAGTGCGATCTTACAAGTTCTTAAAGACAATCGTGCCCTAAACCAAACTAAAGTAAAGCGCCGCGTTTAGAAAAGTCGCCGGTAGAATATATTTTCCATTGATTCTAATGGAGGCGCGCTAAATTAGCAGAAACAAACCGAAGCAAAGCGATGCGCTTGAAATTCGCCACCGAGATTTTTTTCTTAGAGCAGCGCCGCCTTTTGGCTGAGTAGAGGATAGTTTGTGGGCAATTTTCAAGAAAACAATGTCATCTACTGTCTTCATAATCGAAAATTAGAAAAAGTCAGTTGGACAAAATGGAAAAAGAAAAGAGGAAAGCTGAGGAAAGTTGAAATGAAAAAAAATCGAAAACTGTGTAGAGAATTTCTAATCCGATGATTACTTGTGACTAAATTTATTTGTTTTTGGACTATTGAAATTTTTAAGCAGTAACAAATAATCAAACTTCTACTCTTCGGCAATTCTTCGAATCAGAAGCGATAGTAGTGGCGCATAAACTCTTAACTATCGCCCACTTTTAAGGGAAATATTTGTATATTGTCACCAAACTCTTGCATTTATTAATCGTTAGTGATTCGAATGAGGTTTTAACCGATTTACTCTTGTAAGTGAGCGGACCTTCATTAGAATTTATGTAAATTTATTTATTCAATCCCCTTGGCGCAGTTGCGCTTTCCTTCGGTTCGACTGTACTCTAATCTTCTAAACTCTTTTCCGAAAAATGTCACATCCGGATACTAGAAATTTGATTTTTTGTCATCATTAAGAACATTTTTCTGCGTAATGCTCTAAAAGTGGTGTAAGTGTACCTATTTTATTTTATATGAAGATTTGTTTTTGGTGAGAAAGTTTTGCTTTTGAATAATTTTAAAAATATGGTTACATTTTATTACACTAATTTTGTTTTCTTTAATATTATATTGATTTACTACAAAACGCAATTACAAAATTTTATACTTTTAATAACTATAAAAGGACGTGAGCCACTTTAAAAGTCAGCAAAAGGAAGTCTTACATTTAGAAGATATTAACCACGGGATCGCAATTGAAAGACACAAAACAATTTATTTTTATGAAATTTTGATTAAATACTTCAACAATAAAAAAATAGCAAAATAAAAAGGCTTAATTAATACATTTTAATATGTTTCATCATGATCACTGAGGCAATAAATTTAGTGATTAAAATCCTTATTCTCACTAAATAAAACTATATAAACTAATGGTATAGGGTTTAATTTTTAAAACCATTTCATTTTTTCACAACGGAGATTTTTTCGCCTTCTTATAGTGAACAGACTTTTCAAGTGTTGGCTTAGGGTGGAAAAATCGACTTGTCCAGCTGACGCAACCCCGAACAGATGACCGACTACTAACGCGTGCTATAAACAAATAAATAAAAACTAGTTCGTATTAATGAACGGTAAAAAGGGCGAGGCTTGGACTATTTGAGAAAATTGTCATGATAAGCCCCCACATCCATCTGAGAGCTTTGAGCCAATCTGGTGTTTGTTTTCCCAGCAAATATCAGTATCAGTATCACCAAATTATTGCTGCCCCAATATTTCGCTGGCGCTGTTTTACCCCTTTTGTGTGCCTGTGAGTCTCCAAAACTCGTTACAACTTGTAATTGAGTTAACAGCATAACCGAGATATTATTGTATGCTTTGCTACTTTGATTGGTTTATTTCGGTAGGGTGATATTAGCAAATAGTGCAAATCATTGTATTGTTTTCCACAAAAGATGCGGCAGTAATGAAAATTCGTTGTTTTTTCTTTTTCAGTTATTGCGTGTGTTTGGGAGTAGTTGAAAATCTAGCCCGATGCTGTTTGGCTGTGAGGCGACCTGTTCATGATGTTTCATCGGCCTTTGGCTTTTTGTTAGCTGCGTTGAGCTTCTTAACAGCTTTGGTTCAATTCTGCCCGCCCGACAGCGATCCCACTCATCTGGTAAGTTTATTATTTTATTTATTTGAATAAATTATACACTGCATATGCTGACAAAAAAATCCACAGCAACACACAATTAACAATGGTGACCGGTTGTTCAGTATGTATGTAAACTGTTTTACCTTGGAGTTTCCAAAAATAAATTCAAGGCAAATGAGGGACAAAAAATGCCCGTTTATGCTGGCATATTTGCAAATACGACTTAATTAAAAATTATTTTTTTTGTGGAATTTCTTTTCTGCATTAGGTGATTAATAAATTAAATACTAATAAAGTAAAAAATAGAAAAATTTTGTGTATTTTCAATCGCCCTTTATTAAATGTTTAATCCAGTTCAAGTGACTTAAAATCTAAAAGTTAGAACATTGATAGTTATCAAGTTTGATATCATCAAGTGCCAACATCAGAACCCCTTCGAAATTGTTTATTATGTATTGTGCTAAGCGACGGAAAATTATTTTTTTGCGGAATTTCTATCTGCATCAGATGATAATGACGCAAATTGCAATTTATCAAAGCAAAATTATCTTACAAAACAAGTACGTCGAATTTGAAACGGCACATAGAATGCAACATCCCACAATATCAAAAAATTCTGAAAATTTTCGAGAAACATACATGTAGAAACTTGTCCATACATGCAGAAATAAACACAGAAAGCTATATCATTTAAAAGTAAATTAAGAACTTTTATTGTTGCAGATGTCCATTCTACATGACACTGAGTTGCTGGGGTGTGTCTCAATGTTGTATGGCTCGTTGTTGCCGGGTTCAACGCCTAGAGTAGCAGGCCAGTCTCCTCCCGATCTTCCGCTTCCGTGTGTTCATCTGGCTATCAGCACGTATGAGCTGCTGAAGAGAGTTGCTGAAGCTGATTTGACGAAATTCCAGGTAAGCTTGAGACATACTTCCAGAATACCAACTAGCATTCCGGTCTTCTTTGCTAAAGATGAATCCTGCAACAATACAATCACAGTTGCTGGGCTGTTTCCTCACATATGAGCCCCCCTTAGTTAAAATGATAAATGCAAAACGTCTACATAAAGTAACTTTTTAAATAAATCACTATGAATTTTTACACAGATGAAAAGAATTTATTTTCTTAATGTAGAATTGCCTAGCTTTGTTTCGGCTTTGTTTCGCGCGCATCCTACGTCTGAAAAATTACCAATAGCAAAAAATCAAAGTAGCTTTGAAATACATTTTGATTTAAATCAGTGTTTCAATCCACCGTTTACTTCTATACATTTTCTATAATCAATTTCAATTTTGTCTCAAATGTTTAGAATATATGGGACTCATATTAATATTGCATCCGCGACGTAAATCATCAACATTTTTAACTGCACATTCATATGCAATATTCTTTAAATAACTGCAGAGAAAAGAATTAAGTGGTGTTAAGTCGGTGCTATTAGGGGGCCATGGGACAAGATCAGCTAGTTAAATCCAGAATTGACTTAGGATTTTCATTAAAAAAAAGTGCTACCTGGCGAACGTTGTCAGATGGATAAGACATTTAATTCTTTACTTTATTATAAAAACAAATGTTGTTGTCTTCGTGCTTCTAATGGTTTGCCGTTTGCACAATCGTTTTTATACATACTTAAATTGTTCCTGCTAAGAACAAGACATATTTGCTTATATTAAAACGAATGTTTCGAATTTGCTGCCTAAATGTAAATGTAAAGTAAAAGCCAGCGCTGTGCTGCGCAAATGGCTCGGTGCACCAACTCACTGCAGCGCAGTAACTCAGTTCCGTTGAGCGGCGAAAATGTTTCTTAAATTATGAGCTAAAAAATGTAGTGACTTTTTTTTAGTTGTTTGGACAATGTGATAAAACAGTACTCAAGAAAAATCCTGCTGCCTTTTTCAGATATAAAATTTCAAGTCTCGGGTCTCATAAAGCTTTAAACCGCTCAAAAACGCAACTCAATACAGTGTTACCCAGGCCTAGATCTCGAGGCAAAAAATCTGTTTTCTCGTCATGATTTGAAAATAAAAAACGAGTAGACACTAAAATAAAACAACAATAAAAAAAAACTAATCAAAAGGGGATCTAACTTCCTACTTTTGACTTTCTGTATTTCAGAAACAATCGACTTTCGGATAAAGCAAGTTTAGGCCCATTTGCAGCATTTATTGTATAGTGCCCTTCGGCTTAACACAATTTTACATTTTTTGTGGCGTATAGAAGGTTTTCATGGTTTGCTAGCGATTCTTTGTTATGATGATGGTTGCATAATCATAAAACCGTACTTTTCCATTTATATCTCTTACTGTCTCATTTCTCCTTCCACTTCTCGCAATATCGTTCAATCTGACCCTCAATCACGTTGTTTTAAATTCCCCTATATAATGTAGAAAGAACGTATTCTGAATAAATCTGTTGGTTTGCGTTCTTGCAACCCTCCTATCGTCCCACGGATTTTTTTCCTAGTTCATAATATGTCAATAGAGAGAAGGAGTTTCACCCTGCCCAGTATCCGCATCCTGTAATTAGCGGCACGCTCTCAATTCCCGAAGGAACAAGGACGCGCGCCCTGCTAAGTACAGGCGTAACGGGATGATCCCGAAGGAATTCGGGGTTAACACACACATCGTTACTTAACCGAAACCGCTGAGTATGCTTCGGGTTTAGATATCAGCTTTCTTTCGTTGAGAGGATTTTGTGTGCTAATTTCTTAATGTTCACATTGACTGCTGCTGGAGGATAAATATCTAGTGATTTAAGAGGCTATTTTGTTTGGTATTTCTCTCGCGTGAGTGAAAACAGATTAAGCAACTTGTCAGTTGTTGATCTTTTAAATAATTGATAACTACATGCATCGAGGCTAAGGCGTCGGTGCAGACGAAAATACGTATAAAAAAACGACTCTACAAACTTAAGGGTTCTCGGAGGTGATGAATTTTAGTCGATCACATCAGAAAAAATAATTTTATGTAGGGTGTCCGGAAACTAAATCAACAAGCGAAGACGGCAAATTTTAGAGATGATTTCATGTCGATCTAAGCATTGAACAATAAAAAAATATGTCAAAGGTCGAACTTAAAACTTGAGTTTTTAAGAAGCATTTTTTGTGAACGCGATTTAGGCCAGCTCAACATAAATAATCGCTGAAATTTTATGTTTTCGTTTCTCGGTCTAATTCCGGACCGGATAATGAGTTTGCAAGAAAAAATTACCTCATAATCGTTTAAAAATCGTTTTTAACCGAAAAATTGTTTGTCAAAGGAAAACATTTAGACACTAGGGAAATGCATATTTACAATGCTAAGAAAGATTAAAACAACACAACTTCAAACAACAAATGTTTCCAGAAAGACATGTGTGTTCATAGCAAAGTTCACTCCCAGTGGAACTCGAAGATCGTGCTTTCATATGGATAAAATTGCTCAAATTTGCTAATAAACTCGATATTTTGGTAGAATTTGAATAATTTGCAACTCTTTTGGAAATGCAGCACGCAATTTGGAAATGCAGCACACAACATGCATGTAGACAAAGTACACTGATAAATAATAAAGCATACAATTACCTTGAAAGAAATCGTTTTATGAAAGTTTAACCGGACATCAGTTTGACAAACAAACGCTCCGATCCCGAGTCAATTTTCCATTATTCAATCGAAAAGCCAACTCCGGGACAATGTTTGTTCGAGGAACAGAGGCCGGTTGCAGTGTGGCCTTTTAATTGAATCATCAAACGATGATCCAGGCACAAATTGGTTTTGCGTAAAGCCGACCGAATGATAGGCGACTCCCCGAGGATTCTCTTCACTGTTTGTTCTTCGAATTGGTTTGTCTTTTCGATTTATGCCAGTCTAATGATTCTCCATGCCCAGTTGATGGTAGATCGCTCTACTCTCGGGCTACTTTTCCGGGCGTGCAGCTTTGTTTAACTGACTAATTAAGATGGAATTGTATAGCTTGAAACTGAAATAGTTTTGATGGTTTGTACGTGAAGTTTATAGCTTTACTTTGTAAAGTAGTCAAATTACATCAGTCAGAAAGTCACCAGATATCAAACAGAAATATTGATCATTATTATTGATTATATAGAATATAAGACGCCAGTTTTGAAAATATGATCAAAAAATTGATGAAATTAAGAAAGCTATTCAAAATTAAATAAAAATCCAAGAGGACGTACATAAAATAAATATTCCTTTACGACCAGTAATTAAATTCACTTTTGACACAAATCAAAATAACCAAATTGTTTTTATCGGTATACGAATTTAGAGAATTTTGAGAATTGAGAATTTAGAGAATTTTGAGAACATATAAATCGATATTTAAAATTTAACTTAAATCATCCGATAATGGTGCAAAATTGAATTGTAAAAAGTTTATATCGTAGAACCAAAATAATTTATAATCAATCTAATTTTATTAGGGAAAAAAATTCATGAAAGAGGATTTAAATTTCGATAATTACGCAAATTGTTTTATTAACAGATGTTTTAATGAAATTGAAAATCCACAGTTAACAGCAAAATCAACATACACCTATTACAAGCCTTTTTAGTCCATTTATTCCGGGGCTACGATAAACGTAATTTATAAAATTCCTTGCGAATGTAGTAATTATACAGGGAAAACATCAAGACTGTTAAATAAATAAGTTCATAGACCACATCTTTGTCAACATGCATTTGATATTTGCCACCAATTTCAATCGGATAGTTCAAACAATTTCAACAAGTGCATCAATAAAAAACGCAAAATTGGAAAAGGTGCATTCATTTAATAAAATGTTATATTTAATTTAATAAAATCAGGATAATGTTGATGCCAAAAACTCAACAAACGGGTTTTGGAAACATGAATTGTCCTCAACCATCTACATCTACAACTTATTGAGTTGAAGTTTGAAATTCAAGTGGAATGTGTTCTTTAAGCTGCTTTGATTTGTAATGTTTCGGTTCTTTAACCAGTTGGTTATAACCAATCAAATTAAACCAAGAAGTTCGATATATCGAACTTCTTCAAACGGCTTTGGTTGGCTTTTCAAATAATTCAACGGCTTCCGGCCTGGTGTGGGACATGAAACATTCGATTTGAATGCGTTGTTTTTAGAGAGAAGTGCATGAAGCCGGATGGCATTTTAACGGCAATGTTTTATTGCAGGAAGTGTTGGGTGCTGAAGGAATTTCCCTACAGTTTCGGCACATCAGCAGTCACTTGATATGGTGTTGCACCTCACTTTCCGAGTCCAAAGCAACAGTAAAAGAGAGTGAAGTGAAAGCTAAGGTCTATTCGAATCTTTTGAATGAAGTCATCATGGTGACCGGATTCTTCGCTCTTAGAAACACCGAAAATCAGGTAACTATATGTAATATTAGAGCGTTTCGTCATTTGATTTTTTTAAATGCGTTTTATACACTCTGAGGTTGAAGGTATGTGACTAAAGCCTAAGAGTTTAATGGGAATCGAATTGCGCAATCAAAAGTCGATCTCACAAAATCAACGTTACACTGACAAATTTTGACTAATTTTGGAACTGGATAAATTCTGATTGTGTTTCTTAGTGTGTATTCTTGCAAAAAATTTGTGCTTCAGTTAAAGTTTCTATAGGGTTACAAATGAGACAATGCGAAATTGGTGAAAGTTTCACATGCTCTTGGTTGGACAAAAAAATGCTGTTGAATTTCAATAACAAGGGCATTAAGATAAATGGCATATCTCGAAAAAATTATTGAATATTTAGCCAATCGTGTATTTACAGAGTGGTCTCAAAAAATCAACTTTTAGGTCTTGCAGTGATATATTTATATTTTTTCATCTTCAACCGATTTTAAAAATCTAGGGCTCATATTGAAGCTAAAACGTCACACTCGAACCGAGAAATAAATCAATACACCCGGTTGAATGAATTAACGAAATATTTGAAAGTAAACTACACTTAGTTGAAAATGTTCCAGAATCACACATTTCGGGGGCAACTATAGTTTGGGTAAATTTTTGTGCAACCCTGTATATGGAATTTACGTCATAGTTGTCTATGAAGTTTCAACATGAGCCCTAGATCGTGAAAATCGATCTGATATCCCATAAGTTATTGACGCAAGACTAAAAAATTGCTGTTTTGAGACCGCCCTCTAAATAGAATATAGCCGAAAAATTCAAAAACCGTTTCGAGCTATACGATATTATTTGGTGTTGAGATCCAAAAAAACTCTTTTTGTCCAACTAAAAACATTGGAGACAAAAAACAAATGGGGCTTCAAACAGAAACCACATTGCTTCAAGCAATCATAATTTATCCAGTTTTAAAGTTTTATGGCAAATTTCGCTGTGTAACGTTGGTTTTGTTGAGCAGGTTATTTGGCTACTTTTTCAGCTGGAACAAAAGTTGTCGAGGATTTTTCTAAAAAGCTTATGCACACTTGTTACACAGTAATTCACTTAAATTTATCATAAATCCTTTCCGTTGTGTGATTTAAGCGGTGAGTGGTGGCGAAAAATTAATTTTTTGATGTGAAAACTCTGGATTTTCAATAATATATATTTGCTTGAAAACAAAAGGATTTGGTGCCTCGGTCATCCAGCCAACCCATGTAAATGTAGAAAGAACCATGTTCGCGCGTCCCCGTCGAAATAGACGATAAGCGGAGGCCCGGTTGGCGCCCTCGCTATCTAAATGGGTCCCCGCATAACTCACGGGTCCCGCCAAGAGCGTGTTTTATATCAAGTTTATTATTTTCGGTTCGTACAGATCGCTTAAACTTGCTCCGTTCTGGGAAAATGTCGCGTTTATCTTGCCTCTTGAAGATTACATTCTTCGATTCAAAAAAATGCCTTAATTAATATCGAAGTATTTCGGCGGAAAGTCTCAGAATCGTTCTACTAAACGAGAAAATTGCTTCTTAGATATCTTCAATTTGAAATATGTTTATAGATATATACACGGTGGTGTGTATAACCAAAACGGCGAGAAATGTGTGTGGCTAACTAATGTGTAATTTTTTTATGCGATATTGGCACCAATAGTGGCCACACATTAAAATAATTTTCCTTACACAGGGATATTCCAAAAACCCGTGCTATGTCAAAATTATGATTTTTTAATATCAAACACCCCGTCTCAATATGTCGCAGTTCTTTCCCTTACCAATAAGGATACCTACTTATGATATAAGGTGATAAGATACGTATAGACACTTAAAGTTGAAAACAGAGTCACTGTAGTAAATCTGCAAAAGAAGTTGAAAAATCGAACTTTTCAATTATGCTCCAATATACAGGAAGTTCGAGTTTCATAAAAATTTGCAACTTATTTTTTTTTTATGGAAGAGCCCATATATTATTATGCTATCGTAAAAGCTTTTTAACAAGTTTCCAGAAAATGTTACATTGTCAATACATTGAACGTTTATGAGTGAATTGGTTGCAAAAGATAGTAATTTCAATGCGTTATCATAGAAATGTATGAAATTACTTCGATAATTGGAAGAGAAATGGTTGGATTGGACGCGGTGGCGCAATTGAATGACCACCTAGATAACCTGACATGACACCAATTGACTTTTTCTATTGGGTCATGTTAAGGTCAAAGTTTACAAACAGATTAAGACATGAAAACAAGAGTAAGGCGGCGAAGTTTTCGAAATATTTCAGTAGAAATTTTAGAAAAGGTAAAATGTCTAATGCATAGTACTGAAATGTGTGTATAATGAGAATGGTTGAATGACTCTTTTTTTTAACAATTTAGGTTAAACTTATTTTTATGCTATAATGCTGTAATGTTTATTATCTTTATTTGATACTGCTTTATAATGTTTTAATAACATTTAATTAACTTTTGAGTTTAAATAATTAATAAAGTAGTATCGAAATAGAGTTTAATGTGCTGGTCTTGTAGGACTGCTGGTAATAGCGTGAGTTTATTGTCTGCATTTGTTACTGGTTTATTAATTGTTGTTTGTTTCTTAAATGCAACATTTCCTGTTTTTCAATGCCCGGTTTCTGATAGATTCTCTTATTGTTTCGATAACTAACGGGACGCTAAAGTTGTAGGTTTTATAAATTATGGTGGGTTTCTCAACGTGTCTAAACGTCAAAGCTAGAGGTCCATAACTATTGAGGCTATAAAGTAGCAAGGCCATATAACGGATAAGGAGAATCTGTAAAGACCGGTTAGAGTGACAGATAAACTATGGTTTCTCTATCTACAAAAAAATAAATATTATACTGACAAACTTTTCAGTTCGATCTGTTTGGTCGTGTCAAACTAAATTATTTGCCTGTCAAGTGCATTAAGTGGTTGGCTAAATTGTTCGATTTCATTAAAATTCGGATTCAAGCAAATCCGTGCAAAAATTTAACTTTTCAACCAATTTACTCAGAAACGTGTGCTTCAAAGTATTGATAATTTAGTATTTCCTGAAAATCTTGTTGGAAAACATGCAAGATTGCATAATAATACAGGGTGATTCAAAATTGGCGTCATTCCTCTGGAGGTATTGTCTGGCGCTGTTATAGGAGTACAGAAAAAATAATAAAATAAATTAATTCTTATTAACTGAAACTGAGAAATTTGCAAAAAACTATATCAGAAATACGGCAGCAATGTTTTTCAAGGTAATCTTCCTAATTAACATTGCGCAAATATCTGTGGATTCGTAAAACTCCGGTAACCATGGAATATACAGACTGACAATAAGATAGACAAGGATAAACGGTAAATTCAACAAGATTTGTTGACGAAATGTGAACATGTTCTCATAACCTCGAATATTGGTGTTTAAAAATAAACCATACAACACCAA